GCTTACAATAATCATGTTCACTTCATCCACGCAGCAGGTTCCCGTTCATGACCGACACCGGTCGGCTCCCTCGCATGGGCTTCGAACCGAACGGACCACGCTCAACTGTGAACGAGTCGGGCAAACGACTTCCGCGACCGCATCGCGTCTGAGTGGCAGAGGCCAAGTCGGCACTGGTGAAGGCAAAGGATGAGTACAAGCAGTACTACGACCGCCGGAGGGTCTCAGCTCCAGACATCAAGGTCGGAGATCGAGTCTGGCTTGACGCTTCTGACATAGCAACAACGCGCCGTCCCTCAAACTCTCTCACCGACGGCTGGGTCCCTTCAAAGTCACCCAGGTTGTTGGGCGCGGCGCTTACAAGCTTGACCTCCCTCGCCGCCTCTCTGGTCTTCACCCTCTTCCCCGTCGTCAAGCTGCAGCTCGTTGAGGACGACCCGTTCCCAACACGCCCGGCTCGCGAAGAGCCGCCACCTGTCATGGGCCAAGGAGCTGACGAGGAATGGGAAGTCGAAGAAGTTCTGGATGCCAAGATGCGCTATCGGAGCATTTGGTACTTTGTGCGGTGGAAGGGCTACGATTCGTCACACGACCAATGGGTTAAGCACTCTGATATCTTCGCAGAGGACGCTATAGCGGCATTCTACCGCAAGCACCCCAACAAGCCACGCATCATTGCTGCCGCCATCTTCGACTCCCTTCCGTTCCAGCACCCCTCTGCCACCATCCGCACGTTGCGTCGAGGCGCCGCAATCCAAGGGGGGGGTGATGTCAGGGGAACCCCCGCTTCAGACCGCTCTGCCTTCGATCAGGCATGTGATCGCGCTCGCGTGACCTGTCAGCTGTCACGTGCCGCGGCCCGGACTGCCATGCCAAGCGCTTCTCTCTGACGGGCACATGGTCAGGTGTCCCATCGTTCCCACTGTCTCGGTTTCCTATTGTTCTGTCATGGCCATTGTACTTATTGTTCCCATTGTTCTTTGTTTGTCGCTGCGCGGTCTATTGTTCTTGTACCATATAAATAGTGGCGCCTGGCAAGGAGAATCCCCAACACGGTTTCTCTTTGGATTCTCCCTTGCCAGGTATGCCGGTCTTGTACCTAGCTACCACTATTAATCACCTTTGGATTCTCCCTTGCCAGGACTCTGACATCGGGCCTCGAGGTTGCCCTTACAAATACATCCAGACGTGCGAGGCGTGCCAGCGGACCAAGACCAGGAGAGCAAGGACAGGGACTCTGCACCCACATGCAGTCCCAAATGCGCCGTGGGAAATCATCTCCATGGATCAAATCGGACCCCTACCAGTCAGTAACGGGTATGATGCAATTCATGTGTGGTGTGACACCTTCACCAAAATGATCCATGTCGAACCAATTAGTACTGACATCAGCAGCGAAGGAGTGGCACGATTAACCAGGGACCGAGTCTTCCGCTACCACGGGATCCCCCGCAAGATCATCACCAACAGGGATTTGCATTACATCAAAGGCTTCATGAAGGAGACAAATCGGATGTTGGGCGTGGAAATGAATCCGGGGACCGCATATCACCCGATCACAGATGGGCAAACGGAAGCATGAATCAGGAGATTGAACACTATCTCCGCATCGACGTCAATTACCATCAGACGGACTGGTCGGAGTGGCTGGGAATGGCAGAGTTTGCATACAACGACAAGATGAACACGTCTACCAAAAATCACCGTTCTACGCCAATCACGGATATCACCCATGGAAGGGAGTGGAACAACGGATGGAATTGAGGAACAAGTCGGCAGAGGAGTTTGTAAAAGAATCAAAGAAATACAAGACAAAGCAAAAGCAGCATTGGAAAAAGCAAATGAAAAAATGAAAAATACTACGATAAACAAAGAAAAGAAGTTCTGGAGTTGAAGGTTGGGATGAAGGTGTACATAGAAGGGGAAAATATTGAGATGGATAGACCATCAAAGAAGATGAGCGACAAGAGATTAGGACCATACGAGATACTGGAGAAGGTTGGAGCGGCTGCATGGAAGCTGGATTTGCCAGACACAGACTGAAGGCACCCGGTGTTCAACAAGTCACTACTGACACCATATCACGAACCACCCCCCCATTGCCGAGAGAAGAGGCCCGTAGCCAAGATGATCGGAGGAGCAGAAGAGTGGGAAGTCGAAGAGATCGTGAAAGAGCGAAACGTCGGCGAGGAAAACAGTACTTGGTCAAATGGAAGGGATGGCAGCATAGCGAAATACTTGGGAACCATCACGTCACCTTACCCACACAAAGAAGGTCCTGAGAGATTGGCAGAGGAAACAATCCAACCCAGACACATGCATTCACCTCCTGCCGACGCTCGAAGCCAGACACTGGGATTATCTCATCCATTGCTACAAACCCAAAGACGAGCACCTTCCATATCCCCAGCAACAACTCTTCAACCGTTACGAGAACGTCTTCACGCCCATTGGCCTAGTCGATGAGGACATTGACCCTAGAGAGGGGGTAATGTCATAATTCAGCCCTTTTTCATCTTATCATCAACCATCTTATCTTATCTTGGCACGGATTATCTTATCATGGATCATGGCATCAGACGGTCCGGGCTAGGGGTTCCAGGGATTATCTTTATCGATTCAAGGCTGCACGACATATGCTCCGGAAGGTTCTACTACAACCCATGACCAGTGCTCCATGCGGTACATAGCCTTATGACTCATTAGTTGTAGATATGACTCAGACTGGATTTGGGTATAAATACTGTAGCTACTTGGTTGTATTCTCCAGTCTTTGAATTCACTTCTCTTTTCAACATTATTTCTTGTTGATTGTCACATAGAGCCCTCTTATATACAATACAGGGGGTTATTTGTGTCTATTTGATATGAGTTGGCATGACTCTAGATGACATGTGATAGAGTCATAAGATGTGTATCACGACATCCATCTGGCAGATGATAAGATGATCTTTTTATCAACAGAGAGTCCCCAACTTGGTTTCTCTTTGGACTCTCCCTTGTCAGGTTTGCCAGTCTCCTGTATTAGTTGATCCCTTTATCTGACCCTTTGGACTCTCCCTTGTCAGAACTCTGAGATTGGGCCTTAAGGTTGCCCTTACATGGATTCTCCCTTGCCAGAACTCTGAAATTGGGTCTCAAGGTTGCCCTGACAAGTTGTCTGTGTGTCACTTACAAGGGTCTCCAAGTCTGTAAGGGCAACCTCGAGGCTCAAAGTCAGAGTCCTGGCAAGGGAGAATCCAAAGTGGATAATAGTGGTAGCTAGGTACAAGCCTGGCATACCTGGCAAGGGAGAATCCAAAGAGAAACCGTGTTGGAGATTCTCCTTGCCAGGCACCACTATTCATATGATACAGGAACAATAGACCACGCAGCAACAAACAAGAACAATAGGAACAATAAGTACAATGGCCATGACAGAACAATAGAAAACGGAGACAATAGGAACAATGGCACCACCTGCCATCACGGAGAAGCGCTTGGCGCGGTGACCCCGGCCGCTGCGCGTGACAGCTGACAGGTCATGCGAGCGCGATCACATGCCAGGTCCCAGGCTAATCGGTCTGAAGCGGGGGTTCCCCTGACAAAGTCTCTCTCCTTTGCATTTATGACTTCCAATGTAGGACTCTTGGGTTCCCGCTCCTCTACAGCACATCCAAGAGCGAGGCTGTCAATCTTTGATGTTTGCTGCCACAGTTCATGCTTTACAAAAACATCATCCTTGCCTGGCCATACCACAGATTTGGATGGCAGATCACAAGCCCAATCTCAAGTATACTGCAGCAAACATGGAACAACAATGTGTGACTTCTGGAGCTGTACGCAGGAAGATCTATCTGCTGAGCATGAACAGGTTATTGGAAAGGGACCCAAGATGAATCTGGGATGAGATGCTTGGACAAGGATTGGAAGGTCAGAGGGTAGAAATGATATTGAAATACTGTACTATTATGACCAAGTGTTCAAAAAATTTCAAAATTCTGGAACCAAAGATTTTTGTTTTGATTTATTGTGAATGTTGAGCACATCAAAAATTTAGCTGAGACACCATTGTGACCTGTGACCTGAACACTTGGTTGTAATAGTACAGTACTGTTGTACCATAAAGGGTTCTCTGACATCTTGCCTGCAACTTAACCTGCCACACACAAGCAAACAGAGCAAAGGGTCAAGCACAGTGAGGCCCTTAGCACAAGTAAGGAAGTTGGTCCTTACTGAAATCAGTCCCTCTATTTGAAGCCATTCATTGGTAGCACGAGTCACTGCTAGTGAAAATACAAAGATAGACAAGTGTCAGCAGGATAAACTTCATTCACAACACATGAACAATATATATATATATAAAAAACCCCTGGCGGGATTCGAACCCGCAGCCTCCAGATAATCTTAAATTTAGAAGTCTGACGTCATAACCATTAGACAACAGGGGCATATCTGTACATGGCCATCATATTAACCTGAGTGCCATTACCTTCTTTGAACCTTTCTCAATTGTTTTTTGGTCGGCCGAGTCTGTGTTGATCTTGACAGCACAGTGAAAGAGAGCTATTAATAGGAATCGAAAAGGATCAATGGAGAATACCAAGGGAGTACCATTGAGAATCCTCACACTCCCTCGTGGAGTCGTCTTCGGTTGGCTCGAATGCCCAGTATTACTTCGGTCGCAGAAACGCTTTTAAGACAGCTGTCAGAGTCCAGATTCGCTAACCCGAAAACTTGTCAACCCACTAAAACTGTATCGCCAGTTCTTCAATAAGATACAGCTGATCGCTTAACTTCCATCGAAACGTACTAATACCGCTACCCGCTATCTTCCTGCCTTCCAAACAATATTTCACGCTTCTTGTTTCTTGTAAAGGCTTCGTCTTTGCTACAGTCATAATTCCGGGAGTATCTCATCGGCCTACTGCGATACTTTGCAAAGAGGAAGCTACGTCGATTCCTTGTCTCCTCTCGACGATAAGAACGAAGTCTTGACGTTCCGGTGACTCTGGTGAGCATCGGGATGATAATCTGATGCCTCAACCTAATTTGCCGAAAGTAAACACGGCAATATCTCACGCTCCCCCCTTGTTCTTTACGGATGGGGGATCATTAACGAGGTCTATGTATTACATTCTTTCGACATTACGATACTCGAACGCAGGTGTTCCTGGCACTGCAGACTCGATAATAGTTGGGGTGAAGCCGGGTGCTGACTGTTTCAGCGCCTCTTGAACCGAGTAGACATCCACATCCACCAAAGTCAGAGACTTTTTCAAGTATGGAATAATCTCGGACAAGACCTGGCTCTCAGAAAACGCCAACTCGCGCTCGAAGGCTTTTTCACCGACAGCGGCGACCCGCTTCTTGAATTCGTGAACAAACGGCATAACCCGTTTGTCTTTGAGCAAGCCACGCTCTGTCAAGAGGGCGCGAATCTTGGCATCGTCAAATGACTGGGTGTCCGCATCGAATGCCTCTTTGGCGATGGCGACGCAAGTGTTTTGCCAGTCGGGGAAAGAGCTGGCCACATATATCCTAACACTCTTTGGCTTCTTCGGGTCAAATGCGGGTCCCTTGTCGGCGGTCTTGCCTTTGCTCCTACCCTTGGTCATCAACCGGACGAGAGTGAGTTCTGCATCGCGGATAGTCTTGGTGAGACCACGCATATAAAGGCCAGTTTCGATGACAGTCCGGTCAACGGTCTCGGAAGGTGTTGGCCACAGAGCAAGCTGCACTGAAGTCGGCGATTGGAGAAGGGTCGAATGGAGATGCTCTGCTAAATGGGGAGCGATCGGTGTGATCAGCAACGCAGCTACTTGAATCCAATTCTTAACCAACTCGGCATGCATGCCGATGTCGGCCGTGACCTCTCGATACCAGTCTCGAGCAGACTGCAGCTCATAGAAGCCGAACTTGAGCGCATCCTTGTAGTTCATTCTGCGCATGCTGAGTCAGTCTCGACCAAGGAAAACCACGGATCGGTAGCGTACTCTTCGTAGTGAGACTGAGTGATGTTGATAAGCTCATTGGTCTCCTGCTCGAAAACGACATCGTGATAGGAGCCCTTCTTTCCAGTGCGGAGAGTCGCTTGATCCTTGATCATCTCCTCGCACCAGCTCACGAGGGTGTGCACTCGCAAGATGTTCGCATTCGCCGTCTTCTCGTCAAAATTAGCGTCCTCGACACCATCTCCAGCATCAGCCAGAGACAAACGCGTCGCGTCCGCACCAAACTTTTTAATGCCCTCTCGCAGGGTCAAGAAGTTGCCTGCGCCCTTGGACATCTTTTTCCCGTTCAACAACAAATGTCCGTTCGTTCGGAAGCTCCGCGGCCATTTGTCCTCGGGGAAGATGGCGACGTGATTATACAAGCAGAAGGTCAAGTGATTCGGCACCAAGTCCTTCGCGGAAGAACGAATGTCCAGCGGATAGAAGTAGTTGAACTCATGCTTCAGCGCGTCTGCCTTTTCTTTCAGCACGGATGTCGATGGCGGATATGGTCCATCACATAGGACATATTCCCACATTTCGTCGGTCATTTGCTCTGCAGTGATCCCCAACGGCCCCGGGACGGAGCCATCGATGCTATTCTCTGGACGCATGCGGGTCAGAACAAAATGACGAGAGAAGTTAGATGAGCTCACCATGTAACAATTGGGCGACAGTATAATAGCTCATGTAGATTGTTGAGTCTGTCAGTGACTCGACCAAGAACTGGGGGTCCCATGGCAAAACAGATCCTAGACCGTATGTTCGAGCGCAAGCCCATTGATTCAACCAGCCCAAAGTCGCTTCGAAAGAATGTTGTGTCTCAGCAGAGTAGAAATGCATCTTCGATAGAGCTCTCTCTGTCGCGGCACGCCATTTCTCCTCGCCGTAGTCCATGTACCACTGGTCCATCAACGCGACGACACACTCGTCTGTGCTTCGGCTGATTACAAGGCCTTCTGGCTCTGCGTAAGCCATGGCCAGTCCGGCGTCGATCATCCGCTGCCTGACCCGTGGCTTCGCTTCCTCAACACGCATGCCCTTGAACTCGCCCACCAGCATGGTCCCGTTGTAGAAGCCCTCCTTGTACGCAATGTCCTTCGCTTCAGCCAGCTGCTTGGCGTCCTTCGGCGAGTTGATCTTCATGCTCTTCAACAAAGATGGTGCAATCATGTCGCCGTAGCCAGCAGTCGAGATGACAGGTACAGGTGAGATCGCAGCCCACTCAGGCTTGATCCCGTAGAATGCAGCCTTTTTCACTAGATCGTTGAGTGTCGCACAGTCGTCAGGAGAGTCCGATGGAACAGACGTTACGACGCCAGTTCCTTTTGTAGGTAGTACACTCTCCATCGGCAAGACGTACACCTCCGGGTTGATAGCAAATGGTGCCTTGATGCGCGTCCCCACAATTGCCGAGCCTTCGAGCTCCTGCAACTGATCGATCTCGCCGCGTGTCTTCGTAATACCCTGGAACGTCATGTTCCGTGCGGCTCGGTAAGTGCACACAAAAGCTTCGTTGTCGTTGACCGCGAACACGCCGTATTTGATCGTAGGACCGACGAAGCAGTTGGTCTGGCCGTACCTGCGTGAGTGAGTAGGTGCTGGGAAGGATGGAACGAAGAGCACGTACATCGTTTCCGGTCGCAAGGTCGCAGCGACCAAAAACACTTTGCGCCCACCAACTTTCCCCTCGATAGCATCCTTGGCTGCTGGACTCCAGTCCACCACCTCCATTTTGACTGCCGTGTACTCTTGCGGGCCGACACCCTCACCATCTGACCGATCGTGATCCATGCATGGTTGGCCATCCTTGGGACTATAGATGGTGTATCGCTCTCCGAACTTGATCTTGCCCATGGCATGTAATTTGTTCACCTGCCATCGAACGAAACCGTCGTAGTACGGATTCGCAGGCGTTGTCAAAAACCGCCTCCGCCAGTCGACACGCGAGCCAAATGCGTTATTGTCCTCCATCGCGATAGGGGGGAAGAACTCCAGCCAGTGCTGAGGGTCGGCGAACGACTTGATGTCAGCCGTCGGAATACCAATGGACTGCAGGATTTGGAACTGGTAAACGTGTCCCGTTGACTTGGCCTGGAGCTTTCCCTTCTTTCCCTTGAAATTGTCGACGGCTCCCTCCTTCGCAACAACTGGCTTTTCCTCCTTGGGTGCATCCTCAGCTTCTTCAGCCAACTTCTGCTGAACCTCCTCGAAGTTTTCGAAATCCCTGCCAAACATCTCCATTTCCCGCACTAATTTGTCCGCAGACGCCTATGTAGACCGTCGTTCGCGATAGTAGCCTCAGATGGTCCACCACACACCTTGATTGGAAGACCGGTTACGTGAAATCCATGAGGGAACAAAACTCGTTTTCCTAGCATACGCTGGTACCCCGCTGCGAACTCGATCTTGCTAATGGTGAATGCGTGTCCCAGATGCAAGCTTCCATTCGTGTATGGATAAGGGAAAGTGCCGAACCACTTGGGGTATTTCTCGCGAATTTGGTCTGGTGTAAGACCTTGTAAGTCCGCAGCCGGGGGAGCGTTGACCTCGAAGACTTTCTCTTGCGCCCATCGTGCTTGATATTTTTTCTCAAGTCCTATTAGATAATCGCGCTTCCCTGTCTGAAAACGCGCATTGTAAGCAGGAGAATAGAATACTCATGTGCAAAGCGTACTTGAACCAACTCGATAGTTTGCGTATCGGTGGCCATCTTGGATAGAAAGCGCTTGAAGAGAGAACTCTTCTTTGATGCGCGAAGAATGATTATCGAACCCGATCTCTGGGCAGTCTATTTATCGATGAGTAGAGTCCCAGTTGTACGAGTCAAATTGAGTCGAATTTTGCGAGAAAGAGTCACAACACAGCACAGCCACACGTCAATTAAGCGGTGTCGCTGATATTTTCAAGTGTAGAGGTAGAGGAACCGTTCGATTGATCTTTTCAGATTTTCCCATTTATGATACGTGCTAACTACTGTGCGCGATTACTTCTCCTCGAAGTTGGACCCGGCCCAGGAGGCTGTGCGCGAGATTTTCGTATTGGATTCCGAAAGTCCTTCGCCTCGTATTCCCAGGTTGCAAAGACCCGGGCATCCACAACTTTAGGTTCCCGACTATCTCGGTCCTTGGCATTCTCTTCTTTGTTATCCGGCGCGTTCCACGGTGCTGGTACCCCAGGGCCATACGTTAGGGACTTCGCACCACGAGTCAGCGGTGGTGGATGATTTATGCGCGTCAAGCGGTTGTAGATAGTCGGAGGCAGCACCTGCCGCGCAAGCTCAGGAAGGCGCGAACCTTGCGAACCAACGATGGGTTCTATGCGCTCAGGATATGCAACATTTCGAGTGGTAGGAAGAAAACGTCGTGGAACCTCGGCTTCGTTCATGGGCTTGGCATATGTTGGTACAATCGGCCAAGCGCGTGGAGGCCCAGGCGCCGACGATGCATACATCGAAGGAGGCAGATCCCAACGAGGAACGACCTGGGTTAGTTGCAGCAACGACATTGAGACGCGATGGCGAGCTGGATTTGAGGGTCCCGTATCTCGCTGAGGATGCCTGAGAGCATGAACAAAGGCTTTGTATAGGGCAAGCTTAGGTGGATCAAAAGAAGGATTGGCACCAATAGCAGAGGGCGCGTCGGACGGTTCCATGGATTGCGCAGGTAAATGCCAATGGGCGGCTTCGGCTAGTGAAGACTCGTCATATGGGATTTGGATCAGGTAGTCGGCAGCTGAAGTTGAAGTGGCCGTGAGCTGGGGCAATGCAGCAGCGCCGGGCAGCCCGACAGTGGCAGTGGGAGGCATGGGCTGAGGAGAGTCGGGACGTGGGGATTCTGGCGCTACCGGAGTGACTTCGGGGAAGGCAGGTAGAAAGCTCGGGACGTGCCCGTCCCAATCGACAGCACGCGACGTCGTCGAGAGAGGCTCTGCGTCTTCTTCCTCTTCATCCATGACCTCATCATCAGACAGATTTGCATCCTCGTAGAGTTCGTATTCCAGCATGAAAGAGTCATCGCGTGCATGCTTGCCCAAGCGAGCTTTGAACTCGTGCAACTCCTCGACTCGGCGCAGCGAGTAAATCGCATATCGCGACAGCTCTTTCGCCTCGCTCATGTAATGGATGAGATCTTCTGACTCCGATCCCAATTCTTCGAGAGCAGAAAGAGCATCTGCCATGGTGAGATTGGTGCGGCCTGCGTGTTCCGCGTATTTGCCGGTTGTTGCAGCGAGCAGAGATATATAACGGACAAGGAGATCTGTGAGAACGCTGCATGCTTGAGCGGATGCCCTGGAGAACGCAGCAGCGTGGATCATGCGCTGAGTAGCGGCGTCCAGTAATCTGTTGGCAGCATATTCCATAGTGTTAGGTGTGACAGGGTATTAGGTCAACCCGTGACAGCACAGCCATAAGTGGCCTCTTGATTCGACCAGAGAAATACTGGCAAACTCTACACAGCCACCCCTGTTTTTCGCTTACCCAACTTAGACTTACATCCTTCCTCCTCCTGCTCTCTTCTCAACGACCACACCAGTCTGTACCCTTTCCACATCGCTTCGTGTTCTATCTAACTCCCTTTTTATCAGTCATGTCCGACGATGAATCTCACAATCAGACCTTCGAGCAGGTACATGAAAATCTTCTCAGGATCGCGATGTCGTGCCAATATTTTTCTAGGCCAGCGCCGGCGCGTCTTTGACGTTCCCGATGCAATGCTCTGCTCTGCGCAAGAACGGTCACGTCGTTATCAAAGGTCCTCTCGCCGCGATCTTCGATCTACGAAGCACTCTCTAACCATCGATCTCATCCCCAGGTCGTCCCTGCAAGATCGTTGACATGTCTACCTCTAAGACCGGCAAGCATGGACACGCCAAAGTCCACCTCGTCGCCATCGACGTAAGCGGATTCCCTTTTTGCCGCTCTTTCTTGGTGTTTAACAGACAACGCACAGATCTTCACTGGTAAAAAGCTGGTACATCAAACCATCCACCGATATGTCAGTCACATAGATGATCTTCACAGGAAGATATCTCCCCTTCCACCCACAACATGGATGTTCCCAACGTTTCTCGTAACGAGTACCAGCTCGTGGGTTTTCTTCGTCTTTTCACGATGGTCTCTTGAATTGACGCAGGTCAACATCGACGATGGCTTCCTCAACTTGATGACTCAAGACGGCACTGCCAAGGACGACGTTCGCGTCCCCGAGGGTGACATCGGCAACCAGATCCAGAGCGAATTCGATAGCGGCAAGGACCTCCTTGTTACCATCGTCAGCGCTATGGGTGAAGAGCAGGCCATTTCCTTCAAAGACGCCCCCAAGGCGTAAACGGAAGGGACTGTTTATACACGTAAGCGATGTGACAATCTCTATTGAATACGTCGTTTCTCTAACGTGCGTTCAGATACATATATATTATCGCTTTCGCATCCATCGCCATCGCCATGTATTCCCAAACCCCCATTCCTACATCCCGAACGTACCTACCCATATACTCCGCATACTCTTCCACCCGCACACCCACTGTTCTTTCGCTCGCGCCTTTCTCATTTCCAGCATCTGTGTGAATAGGTAGTTGAAGCTGTAACCACAATATACTGAATCTCGTAGGAGGCAAGCTCATGCAAGCGCTACACTTGTACTGATTCCATCCTGCACCCGTTCTCCGTATCTGAGCTCTTACAAGATATGTGGTCCTCCCCCTTGCGAAGAGTCATGGGTAGCCATGAACAGCGAGGGGAAGTATTTTTTCCATCGCTCATAGTGGCGGTGCGCCTATTCAACACCTACCTTCTACCACCATGTCACTGTAGATCCATGAGCACAGTCTTTCCCTCACACTCTACTACATTGATCATGATTCCTCGAATAACACACAAGACCTAAATCTCGAAGCAAACATGTTCGGAGAATCTGATTCGGAAAGCCCGCGCGTTCCCAGTCCCTGGGACACCATTATCTCAACTCCACCATCGCCCTCGCCCAGTCCACTAAACATCCCGCGACTCGTACCAGAGTCTGACGAGGGTAATATCGAGTACAAGCTCCAGCTCCTTGACCCATCACCTGCACGGTTCGCGCGCCTCGTCACACAAATGAAGTGGCGTCTTCTCGAGGGCGGCGGACAGGCCTACTATGAGCTGGGCGTGGCAGACTCAGGCATGCTCGTTGGTTTGCCGCGGAATGAGCTCGAGCAGAGTTTGGAAACGCTGGAGATGATGGCTGGGGAAATAGGTTCGTCTTCTCTGCGCGTCATCATCCGCTGAGCTTATGCAAAGGTTATCAGGCGCCAGTGTCATTGTTGTGAAAGAGATCGAAGTTCCCGCCGCCATTGCTGGCTACGTGTCGGCTCAGTCAAACTCGCTCAATGGGAAGCGTTTGCAAAAACGGCCAGGCTTGCTGATGAGTTCTGAGGACGATTCGAATACTACGACAGCAACCGACTTCTCAGTCACGGACGCTGAAGAATTTGAAGGGATGGGAATGTTTTCGATGGACGATGTTGAGGATGAGGACGCCTTAGTCGCGGTTCCTCCAATACGGTTTTCTGTGGACCTGGAAATCGCTTCTGTCTTCAAACCGCGTCCAATGCGTGCTCGAGCGCATGTGCAGCCTGAGATGCCTCTTTCCTCCCCAAAAAAGACCAAGCGCACGAAAGGAAAGAAGGGCCCACATCTTCCGGATCAGCTCAATTCCTTCGCGAAGGCTGTCGCTGCCGAATTGAATGCCAGTAGACCGGAAGACCAGCAATTCCCTAACAAGGCGCATAGTCGACGTGTTGCGCGTGATCGTCGACGCGAGGAACGGAAGAAAGCTTTGATGCAGTATGAACAAGCTGATGTATCCCACTCACTGGTGTCAAGTCTTGGAGCTTTACAGATCACAATGGACCCTGCAACAGCTGAAACCAATTCACACGAGCAGACTATCGCTCCAGATTTTGACACCTCTCTTCCGACAGTCGAAGTCACCACTACTGATGAAGCTGTCCCCAAAGCCGAGCTAGTCGCGGACAACTACGACGATGACGATGACGACGTTTTCCCGTCTCCTGTAGTCGCAACCCCGGGCGTTTTCACTTCCTTGGCCTCCTCCACGCTCGCTGTGCCTGTCACTCCGAACGATTCAAACATAGATTCCACCCAGGTACGATTGATAGTGGAAGCACTCGTCGTCCGCAAGATGTCCATCGAAGAGGCTTTCTTGGATTTCGGAGGGTTTTCGCCGATGTGAATTCATAGCGGACCTCCACGAACTGCCTTGTTACATAGGTCTCATATGTATACACATCAGATCGTATCCTGATTCTCCTTCTCTCGTTTCTGTATCCTGGTAGTTGGCTGATCCCGGACTTGTTGGGTAGACAATTAGATGAGGTGTTTATTTGAAATGCTCAGTGAACAGACTCAAAGATCCCAAGCGAAGAGAGATCTAGTTTCTTCCGAGGACTCACAGATGAGTCAGTGCTGGGTCGCATTCACAGCAACTTATCACATATGTACACTGGTCATGAGGAATGACCGCATTGCACATCGAATGGGACCTTTGTCTCTATCCCCGGAGCACGCTACAACAGAGATATTATCCCTGTGTTTAGCTTTCATTGTATATCCTTACCTATGATGACTTCCGTCGCTGGAACCGGATCAGCAACCGGGGACCAGGACTGAGCGCAGCGTGTGAAAATTTGGTCCTCATTTGGACTTGCCCACTACCACCTGGCACCGAGTCGGTTTCGCGCAAGGCGGTGATTCTCGCCGGAATTGCCGTCTGGACAGCCTTCACCTCTTTAACAAATCCTCACGCCCAGGTCGCCACCACTTATGTCTCGACGGAGCTACCACAGCGTGTCTGGTAGCATATCTTCCAGATATGTTAGCGATGATGATCTCTTCAAGTGCGTCACTATATTTCGAGCTCTCAGAACTCTCATTATGTTTATTGCTAGCTACGTGCTCCGTGTATCGTAAGCTTTGGTTGCTGAGACACTCGGCTGCTGTTTATGCTTCACACAGTTACCTGAGCTATCTCATGACCCCAAAGCCAACTGAAGTAACGACACAAGTGTCCACGAGCTCCGATCTGCGAGACAAAGAGCATTCGAGGCTGTCTGCACTTTCGAATTTCTCCATTGGCGACCTATTCAAAGACATTCGAGATGGTTCTAAGAGTGTGAAGTTTCCGGAGAAGCTGTTGAAGGTTTTGGAACAAAAGTTGCAGAATATTGCCATGGGCAAAGACCCCAGGTGTGTATCACCTCTTCAAGAATCTTTGTGCTAATCGCCATGCAGCTACTCGGAGCAACTCGTCCGTCGAACCATGGCCAAATTCTACGGCCAGTTCCAAATCGACAGCTTCAAGCGACAGATGAAGGAGAATCGGAAGATAGAGGAGCTTATCCTAATGTTTGCAACACATGCGACGACGGTATTGAAGAAGGAGCCTTCTCTGGCCGGCGATGGATGGAAACTCGAGCTGAACAATCAGATCGCCACCTTTGTCAAGATGCTGCGAGAGTGTTTACGGACCGTCAACCACGTTTCGCCGGAGCTTCTAAGCAGGCTGGATACGTACGCGTCCAAATTAGCTCCACAGAGCTCGAACGATTCAGGATACGATTCCTCCTCCACTCGCGACTCCATCTCCATTCCGGCAATCAGCAATAGCGTCATGGATATGGAACTGGTGCGAGTTGTTGCTGGGCTGTTCCGGATACCGGAGTCCCAGCTGCAGAGAGAGGTGGATTCACTCAGGGCAACTTGCACGCCCAAGGCTGCATTGGTGGATCTCAAGGTAAGTCAAGACTTTGAAGCGATTGATCAAGTCTAACTCTGCTCAGACGTGTCTGAAGAACATCAATGCAGGTGCATCCTTTCCTGGACGACGTGAAGACTTCAGCACGGATTCCGCTTGGCAGAACTGGCGTACCGCGGAAACAAGCTACCTCCAACAGATGGTAGTTGCGATGGTCCAATTCAATCCGGAACTTGCCAAGTCGACGCCAGCAGAAAGAGAGTCTGCCGGAAGACCTGTGTCGTCGTATTCGGGTTACGACGCACCTGCTCGGACAACATCCATCGGCAGTCGACGATCTCTGTACGCTCTGGATAGTGAGATGATGCAGGACGATGTGCTCGATGACGATGAAATCACTGTGGGACACAACTTTACGTTCATACCTCCTAACCCGAAGAAGCACTACAAACGGCTGCTGGAGCATTGTCTATTGACAGATCTGGAAATTATGCTCAGTCCCGAGGTCGATGACAACGACGAGGTTTCGCTTGGGATTCTTTCGACCCCTCATCTGGACTTACTGAATGAATGTGCTTTGCGTTGGAGAATCGGGCATGCTTATCGGGCAATATGTTTTGTGGACATCGTAAAGCAATTTTACGAGCGACAGGACATCCCCTTGGAGTGTATACCTGAAGCACTGTCTCACATCAGCAAGGTCTCGAGCGACACCGAGCCAGAGGAGTGGCCGTCGGCTGACGTAAGTGGTCTCGAAGATCCTGACCAAGCCGCTGATCATCTACTCAGTCCGAGTATCTGGCACATGTGTACGGCGGACTGTTCAACACCTTTTTGTCGAACCTGTACCATGCTATGGATGCTGTCCCCAACATCAAAGCCTCTGAGGTCGAGCCATTTCTGTCTGTGCTCGAACATATCCGCGACAGTGGGCTATTGGAGTTGTTTGGATTCGATGTGGACATCGACGCTCGGCTGAACGACGTGCAGACTCAAATTCGACAAGTTTCTGGTCGATGGTATGATCTCAAGCTGCAGGAGTTGCAGTCTGCCCCTGGAGTCAACCGCGCTTTGCCGTTACTGCTCATGACTGACGAGCTCGAAAAATCCGCCAAGCTGCTTGACAAACGGTTCCCCGAGGCGCTATTGGGGTACGGTCTTGTTTTCCAATCCGTCTTCCTCGTCTGAGCTGTCGATGCAGAAAACTTGACCTTGTCTCCCTCTTCGTAGAAGCGACAATCCCCAGCTTCATACAGGAAATCCAGTCATCCCAAAAGCGTTTGTTCGAATCTTCGATGAATGGGCCAACACCAGATGTGCCCATTCAAGACATTTTCGCATTGTACCGACGGTCCAAGACTTTGCTTGGCATGTTCAGCGCTTTCTGCCCTGAGTGAGTGTGATTATCCATCTTCGCCCTCGTGATGAATCCAATGAGGAGCAGTGCGTCCATCGAATTTGACATCAACACGTTTTACGAGCCCTATGTTCGGCAATGGCTTCAAACGACAGACAGCAAAACGTCGCAGTGGGTTGAAGCTGTGCGTCTTCGTAGCGTTAGGATTGGAATTGCGCTCACATCCTGACAGGCTATTGCAGCAGACAAGGTGAGCTGGATCTACCTGCAGTCTGCATTCGTTGTAACCTGGCGCAGTTCGAAGCTGAAGGCTCCGAAGGCCACAGCTCCTCTATCGTAGATCTATTTGACTCGCTACGCAGTCCTGTCGGGTTTTTGCATGATCTCGAATGGGACGACGAGTATCAGCTGGCTCGATTCTTCACATCTCTATCAAAGGTCCACCCGTTCTGCTTTCTCTTCTCTCTTATGTCTGATCGGTTTATAGAGCATGTCCAAAGCTATCGAGCACTATTGCCGGACTGTTGAAGGGCTTTTCCTAACCGAGATGTTCCCGCGCCCTTCAGACTATCTGCAACCCCAGAAGTCGTCCGCGTGGCTTGAAAAGGCGCGACAGTTGGCGGCGTCGGGTGATAAGAAAGTCGAGCCTTTCAACTTCCAGCCGCAGACATGTGTCAAGCTCAACAACGTCGAAGCCGCCCGGCGACTGTTGGATAATATGTACAACGAAACACAGGCTGACAAAATCTCCGATATTCTCAAGCAGATGCCGCCTGTTCCGAACAAGACTACAGAGGCAGAACGATTCCTCTTCTCTGTCAAGATCGTTATTGCCGAGGGTCTGGTGCCTTTGGACAGCAGTCCATCTCGTATGGCTGATACGTTCGTGACGTTAAGTGACGAGAATGGTGTCCGTATGGCAAAAACGAGAACCATTTATGACACCTTGAGTCCACGATGTGGGTCGCACTGCCCTCTCGCATGTTGTCTCGTGCTGACCAATCACAGGGGATGAGACTTTCGATATCTCAGTCGAGAAACCCTTGTGGCTCATGGTCAGTGTAAGAGACCGGGCACTGGTCGGTAAACATGACACTGTCGGCCGAGCTTATCTCTGCTTGGATCCCAGACGATTTGGCGATTTCCTGACGCATGACCTGTGGATGGACTTGGATTCTCAAGGGCGTGTGTTGGTGAGGATCAGCATGGAAGGGGAGAAGGATGATATTCTATTCTACTTCGGGCGTGCCTTCCGTTCGTTGAAGCGCGCCGAGTCAGACATGGTCCGCATCTTCATCGACAAGGTAACTGGTTGAAATCTTTCCGTCCTGCCAGTCACTAAGCGTTTTTAAGATGGCACCATTCATCCAGCAATGCTTGTCTCGCAGCGTACTCAAATCTCTTCTGAAAGGCGGCGCATCAGGATTGGACTACAACAAAGCGATCAGCAATGTCACCGCTTTGTGGGGCTCTGCTATCGGGACATCGTCCAACGAAGTGCAGATTCCGCTGCCGAGCTCCGAGAAACCCCGTATCCGGCCAGACGAATTGACTGATGTTGAGATCGAGCAAGCCATCCTGCCTCTCTTCGATTACTTCGACGCCAATCTGCAAACTCTCAATACGTATCTCAGTGACACAGCGAAGGAGATGGTCATGACACGAGTCTGGAAGGAGATTCTCAACATCATCGAGGGTCTCCTGATCCCACCGCTCTCCGATATCTCGAGCGACATGAAGCCTCTCACGGACAAGGAGGTTGATGTTGTCTTCAAGTGGTTGAAAGTGCGTCCGTCTGGTATCACCATTTCTTATCCTCATTGTGGCTTCAGTTTTTACGAGACTACTTCTATGCGAATGGCGAAGGGCCGGTCCCTCTCGAGGCGATCCAGAATCAGAAGTATCGCGATGTCGTCTCGATTCGTTTGTATTATGACTGGCACACGTAAGCTCTCTGCTCTGCCGTCGTCCAGTCTTGATTGGGATTTTTCATGACAGGGATCTTCTCATGGAGGAATGCGTGAGGATGATGCAACAGAGCCTCAAATCAACACCAACAATGAAGAAACGAGTCAAGAGCGTGTATCAGCAGCGGAATCTCGGGACTATCAAGGAGCGCAAGAAGGAGAAACGGGAGGAAAAGGAAGTCTCCAGCGGAGAAACAGTCATGCGTATCCTTCGAATGAGGTAAGCTGACGGCCACTGCCGTACCCGGATGCATCGATGCTCATCCCAGCTGTAGACCTGGGACTTCCGATTTCATCGCACAACAGCTGCAGATCATGCAGGCCATGCAGGCCGAGCAGGACCAAAGGGCGCGTGAATTAGAACAGCGGAAGCTCAAGCGGCCAGCCAAGCAGCCGGTTCCTCCGGTTCCAGAAATCCCCCCAGTTCCCTGATCTATCCATCACATACCCACTTTCGCATATCGTATAACGTCGATGCTTTCTATTCCCACACATGCTGTAAGACTCTCCAATTTGAACGCGCTAGAGCTAAGCCCGGATAATGGATATGAATAATCTATTCTCTCGATTTACATTTAGTTTACCGCAACTTCCTTGACGATCATGGCATCACGGGCAGGACCGACCCCAATCCATTTGACGGGAACATCGAGGAACTGCTCGATAAACTGCACATACGCCCGGCAATTGGCAGGCAAATCTTCATATTTGCGAGTGTCGGCGATGGATGTTTGCCAGCCAGGCAAGGTGTGATATTCGACTTGAACCTCTGACAGCACACCGAGATCAGCTGGGAAGCCTGCGAGGGCAGACCCGCCCTTCTTGTACGAGACAGCGATTCGGATTTCGGAAAGGGAGTCCAGCACATCGAGTTTGGTCAAGTTCAGCACATCGTAGCCGTTGATCAAGCAAGAGTGTCGGAGTACGACCAGATCGAGCCAGCCACATCGCCGAGGGCGGCCAGTTGTGACACCGACTTCGCGGCCAACGTTTTGTAGCAACTCACCCACCTCATTCAACTGCTCCGTAGGAAAGGGCCCGCCTCCGACCCGGGTGGTGTATGCCTTGACGACACCGATCGTCGTTCCGACCATGCGAGGAGGGATACCAAGGCCTGTGCAAACACCGCCGACGGTAGTAGACGACGACGTGACGAATGGATAGGTCCCAAAGTCCAGATCCAGCATGGCAGCATTTGCGCCTTCAATAAGGACGCGTTTCTTCTGGGCAAGGGCTTCATGTAGATACACAACGCTGTCCACCACATATGGCTTCAAACGCTGAGCCAACTCCTGCGGAAATTGTCAGCCAGAGACGAAGACAATCATAGAGATAAGACCAACCCGGTAACGTAAGATCTCTCCCTCAGTATCATACTCGAAATGTCCGTAGCGTTTGAATCGACCTTCCACCAGCTTCCGGAACTTCGCTGCAAAGGTATCGGGATCGAACAGATGATGAACCCGCAGACCGGATCGGGAAGCCTTCCCAGAGTACGCTGGGCCGATCCCCTTCTTAGTCGTTCCGATGCTAACAGAATGTCTGAGAATCGTCGCGAGACACTCGCAGGTGAGTGCTTACCTTGATCCACCAAGTTCGACCTCTTTCAAACCGTCGACGATCTGATGGAAATCGAATACGAGCTGAGCGCGATCGGATATGAGGAGCCGTCCAGTACAGTCAAGACCTGACAATGGTAAGAGATGGTAACGATGATGGATCAAGCATTGTGCACCCTGAGCTTCGAGTGCATCGAGTTCGGCGAAAAACGAAGGCACATGGACGACGACACCGTTTCCGATGAGTCCGATGCAGCTTGGGTTGACAAGACCACTTGGCAAGAGGTGGAAAGCGAAAGTTGTGCGAACGCCATTGATGGGGACGACGATGGTATGGCCCGCATTGTTACCGCCCGCGCAGCGAGCGCAGATGTCTGCTTCGCCAGCAAGGATATCGGCGAGCTTACCCTTGCCCTCGTCGCCCCACTGCGAGCCGAGGACCACGGTTGTGGACATGCAGACCTGACAGTGAGATAAGAGATGGAATTTGATCGAGTCACAGCGACGGAGCGCTCCGCCACGACCGGCTTTTCTCTTGCTTGGCACGAGAAAAAGAGAAACATGGCAAAGATGCGACGCTCATTGGCTGTTTTTTCAGAAAAGATAATGTATGGCAAAGAAGAGTGACTGGCAATAAAGAAAGCGAGAGCGAAGGTCGAAACAATCGGTAAATATAGAGCCGGTGTACATGAAAATGTGAGTGAATGCGCTACGACTGCTTCGTCTTGAACCGTAATAGAGGCGCCAAACCCGCCAGGGCGCAAGCTTTCTGAAGGAATTCATGCTAAAGGAAATTTGGTCAGCGCGTCATCGGTCATCGGGACGGGGGAGAACATACTTCTAGCAACTCCTTGGCGGTTGCGCGACTGCTGACATCAACACAGAGACAGACAGCAAGGAAACTCTTCAATTCGCGACTGAGTGCCTCTGGCTTCTTGAGAGTCGGTGTTCCGTTTGTTGCGATGAGATATAGCGCTTTCAGTGGCTCCTCGTCCAAGTAAGGAGGCTCGTTCTCGATCATCTCGATGGCCATAATTCCGAGTGACCAGATATCGACCTTGGCCCCATATTCTTTCTGCTTCACCACTTCAGGTGCCATCCAGTATGGCGTTCCCACCATCGTCGCCCGCTTAGACTTTTGGTCCGTGAGTTTCGCGCAAAAGCCAAAGTCAGCTGCATCGAGTCAGCTTTGTTCGCGTGCGAGAATAGGAGGACGGACTGATTTTGACGCGCCCAAGAGCATCAAGCAGGACATTATCAGATTTGATATCACGATGAATGATGCTCTGGCTGTGCAGATGACCCAATCCTTTGCAAGTCTGCGGAAAGCTTTCAGATGCTGGTCGCTTCGATGCTTTCAAGTTTACGCACCTCCAAACAGATGCTACTGATCTGATCCTCCTCCATCGTATTGTTTTCGATGACATCGGTCAATGCGCCACCTTCCATATACTCCATGACCACCCAGAGTTCGTTGCTCTTGACCAGATAACTCTCGAGGAAGTTGACGATGTTCGGATGCTGCGACTCTTTCATCACGAGGATCTCATTCACGATCAACTCCTTCCGTGGCTGATGTGAAAGATCCATCTCTTTGATCGCCACTTTCTTGCCAGTCGCCAGAGTTTTGGCTACGTAGACATGACCCGATGCGCTGAGTGAGGACAATTAGCGCTACGATGCAAAAGCGACATTGTCACACGCACCCCTGCCCAACCTTCTTGATCTTGCTGTATATCGCTTTGGGGTCATCATCTGAAACAACCTGCCTCAGTTTCTCCATGATCTGAACTTCTGTCATCGTGCTGATGCGCTTCTCCTTCATGTCTCCGCCTTTCTTTTCTAGAGCGGCGGCGGCGGCTGCAACTCCTTGAGTTGCAGGTGGCTCGGCTTTCTCGAACTGGATCTTCTTCGCAGGCTGCAGCGGCTTAACTGGGGGCGGCCCAGCGACAGCGCCAGCGGCAGTTGTCGACGGCGCATTGAGCACAGGCGCCGTTTTGCTCGGCGGCCCAAGCGGTGGTCGTTCTGCACCGTGCTCGTCCTCCCTAACTTGTTGCTCCCGCTCTCGCTGTGCTTCCCGCTCTCGCTCCTTCTCTCGTTCGCGTTCGCGTTTGGCAGCTTCGGCCCGTTGCTCTTGCCTCTGTTGCTGCTGGTTCGACGTTTGCAACGAATCCTTCCGAAGAGGTAGACCGGCGCCCGGTGGTCCAACTGCCTTCTGCCGCAAACGGAGATCGGCTGAAGACGGTAGATCACCCCCACTAATCTTGCCGGAGGCGGGGCCCCCGTTGGGTAGAGAGGGAGCGGAGGGGGCAGGGCGAGTTCCTGTCAGCAGTGGTCGCGGTGGCGCGGGCCGAGCCGACTGCAGAGCAGGCTGTTGCTGGTTGGGCGTTGTCCGGGGTGGAGAGAATGAGGAGTTGGATGTTGCTGAACTGATCGCGCCGTCGAGCCCTGGAGGGGCCGACTCTTGCCGCTTAATGCCGGGACGGTCGGTGAGGGAAGAGGTTGACGAGCTCATGGTTGAACCTGATCCCGCTTTACTCATCCCGCCCAGACCAGTGCCCGCGTTGAACCGGGGAGGCGCACCTACATCGAAAATGAGTGGAAAAGAAAGAGGTAGGACAGTCAACTCGCCCGTATCGACCAACATTTCCTGTTCCCGCTCCATCTCCCGTTTCTGGTGATCCGTGTAGAACTCAAGAACGTCCAAGACAGCTTGAGGATCCTTTGCGTAATCCTCTCGTGTAATCGCGGATTTGGTGAGCAGCTTCGTCCATTGTTCAGGCATGCCCTGTTTGCCGTCATTAATTGGCTACGACCAGCGCAGGAGAGCAGATACCCACCGTGAAAGCTCCACTAACAGGATCAAAGCCCACATGGATCTTGTGGACGAAGTTGGTTGGGTTGCTGACTCCCATTAGAGGAGAGCGAGAATAGACATCGTCTTGCCAGCCTGACCCGATGAGATGCAGGCCAATCAGGAGTGACTGCTAGACTTACCATAAAGCTCCTCGTCGTTCTTGAGCGAGAGGAAGATGCGTTGTTTGCGGTCTTGAGTCTCGATGAGGAGACAATATGGCTTGAGGTCAACCCGCTCGATGTTGGAGATATCGCGAAGCAGGATCGCAGATTGTTGGCCCGAGGTCTGACAGAGGAGTGAGACTAGGTGGATAACCCTGCAGGCTACATGCAGACCTCAGACTTATGGAAAGTAAGGGCTGCATCTTTAAGAATCAGCCACTTGACTTTCCAGATCCAGCTGGTCAGGCCACCCTCCTCCTTGACGGTGACAGGCCCTTGTCTCACTACGCCACCGATGTTGTTGCCATTCGGGGACGATGGAGACCCGCCGATCCCAGAGTACGTCGTCGAATAGGACGAGCTGCTTGGGGAGCTCGAGTTGAAGGAGAAGGCGGAGTTATAACCGTTCGTGGCGAGGCTAGATTTGGCAGACGGATGACTGAGCAACCTGAAGAGCGGAAGATGAGATCATTCACTTTGTGGGTTGCGGCGCCGGCCGCTGAGGCGTTAGGGCCGCAGGGGTGGTATACGACATGAGCGCGAGTGGACGGTGTAGAGACCACAACGACGACGACGGCCCCGGGAGAAGTGATGGCGTCGGTTGTTTGTGTGATCACTGATCACGTTTCCTGTAGATCGTCCTAGATGTTGCTTGTAATGGACGATCACCGAGCGTCTTCAAACCCTCCACGACTTGTCATTCTTCCCGGCTTTCTATCCCAAATGAGAGGACAGCTGTTTTACAGCCATCAGAACATTTCCAGGGAAGTTCCTATGCGGTTCATGATGCGCTTAAGGCGCACCTCACTTATCTGGACATCACAGCCTTATCTGTCAGTCATTTCTCTCGGGCATGTAAGGGCTCATCTCCGATTTTATGAGGCTCGTAGACAGTTCCATTGTATTCCCGTCCGCGCCGGTCAACTGCATCCGTTCAGGTCGCAGAATCAGCTGATTCCACAAACAGCACTCCCTGACATGCATATGATATTCGAATTTCTCAGGGTCTCTTAACTTGTCGTTAACCATGTTTACCACCTGCTGCAGCCTCCCCGAACTCCCAGTCGTGTCTCTGGCACGTTTCTTTGCGTTCTCAGCTGCCGGTAACGTTGTCTGACCGCATCTAAGCGGAGGGGCTGATCAATACGATCTTCGGATAGCTTACGGCTTATATGTTCTGCTGTATCGGGTCCTGCTGTATCCTCGCTTTTTCTCTCCACTCCGTCACGTCCCTGGCCCTCCTCTCGGAAATCCCCTTCTGGGCCACTATCTCACTATCGTGAAAGAGGAAACCTGCATCCCCCAAAAGCAATGGGTTGCCGCCTATGGACCTTTCGTTCGATTCACCGGCTTATTTGGGGACGAACGGCTCGTCGTTCTGGAAACCCAAGCTTTGAAAGAGATACTCGTGAACGATTGGTTGGATTACCCCCGCCCTCAATTCATGCGAGACGTTCTCGGGCTTGTGGCGGGGTATGGTCTTCTGACAATCACAGGCGACGAACACAAGTCATTGCGCAAAGCTATGAATCCGGCTTTCTCCATCGCCAATCTTATGGCTCGTAAGTATCTTTTACAATATCGTCACTCCAGCTCAATGGTTCAGAGGCGGACATGTATCATGGACCCATCGAAAGGTATCGATCACATAAATACAGCACCAAATTACGAAGACTCATGGTCTGGAAGCCTCGTAACCCTTCTCTCTCAAGAAATTGAGCAGGAACCTGCTGCTGCCGATGGCAAAGTGTTCATGGTCTATGAATGGAGTTTGTGTCTGAGATATCCCTCTACACATCTGGCTGATTCAAATGTCAAGTGGGGAAAGTCACCTTGGACATTATTTGTGATACGGCCTTCGGATACGAACCTGACTGTCTGCACAATCCACACAACGAATTAGCGGTCGCTTTTGAAGGCCTCCTCTCACTTCAGTCCGGAGTCAACCTCGCGAAGCTCATCGCAGTCATAGCAATCCCGGGCGTCAAGACACTGCTGACGACTGATTGGATGTTTGAGCACCGTCATCTAATCCGATACATCCCTTTCCTCTCAGCGCTGGACACGCTTGTCGGAACTTTGCACACGATCCGTCGAATCTCTCGGGAGCTTTTACTGGAGAAAACGACAGATCTCAGTGTGTCGCCGGATGACACCAGCACCAAGAAGGATATCATGTCTCTGCTTGTTCGTCAGCGAAAGGCAGAATTGGATGCCAATCCCCGGGCCGATGCGATGTCTGATAGGGCCATGGTCGATCAAGTTCTGACCTTCCTTGCTGCTGGACATGAGACCACTGCCACCGGAATCACCTGGGTACGGCGGCTGCTTTCTTTGCGTTCTGGTTCTTGATCACGATCGTAGACTCTCTGGCTTCTAGCCAATGATCCAGCGAGCCAGCACAAACTTCGCGAAGAAGTAACTCACATCTATGCTTTGAATCCTCGTCCAGATTACCGCACGCTGAAAAGTCTGACTTGGCTGGACTGTGTCGTGTATGTGATGAAACCCAACTTCTAGTTGTTCCTTACGAGGCGATGCAGGAACGAGGGACTGCGCGTTCTTCCGCCTGTTCCACTGACAATGCGCAAGGCAGCAAAGACCGACTATGTTGCGGGTGTGTTAGTGCCGGAAGGTACTGTCATCCAGTTCCCGGTGAGTTCCGGAATAGACTCAACGAGTTCGTTCGATTGCTAAAGCACTCAGATCCGAGTCATCAACACTTGGAAACAAGTATGGGGCGAAGATGCCGACGAGTGGGTGCTGATTCGAGGGGTCTGGGGTGACCGGCTCATGTCCAACCAGGTTTCGCCCAGGTCGCTGGCTCGACTTGCCTAAAGCTTACAACGCGACATTTTCCCAATTCTCATTTATCGCCGGCCCCCATGGTTGTATCGGCAAAACAATGGCAGTAAGTGAGATGAAGGCGGTTATAAGGTGAGCAAAATCCAGGACCCGAACACTGGTCCTGATCCGTTCGTAGTGCCTTGGTCTATAATTTTGAGTTCAGTCCTGCGTACTCGGGACAGATCGCGCATCCAGCAGCCGCTATCACAATGAGTGAGTCTCGAGTCTGTCTCTCTGTCTATCTCACTGGATTGTTCAGAACCTTCTGACAATATGCCGCTGCGCGTTCGACGCATCCGTCATTGATGTTGACTATATTATCCTCTATATCGACGTCTTGTATCAATCTCGCATGTGAAATACATAATTTTAGCTTGGACTTTCCCTAAGTTTCAAAAATGGGCAATCCGTCAATCATGTCTGGTTGGTGACAAGCCACAAGACAAAGGACGCCGATATGTTTGAGAACGCTGAACTGTCGAAACTGTCAAAGCAGTTGGATCTGATCGCCAATCAAATGGGCTTGGGAACCCCTTTCCTTGTTCCTTGCAGTCGCTCGTTAGGTCGCTCTCGCCGCTTATCTATTTGATACAGCCGCTCACTCAAGTCTCTTGAGTCGGTATTTCTGACATCGAGTCAGGTCCGCTTGCTTGCCGACATCTGTCATGAATCACCGCTTTCGGACCTAACTGAACAGAGGCACGTTCGTGCTTGGAATCCCTTTCCGACCGATACTATAGTAGGCTGTGTCACCCGCTTGTGACTGGATCAGCCTTATAGGCCCTGAGGCCATGGGAAGAGATTTCTTGTCGCATCTCATTCACCCACATCCCTCGTATTCCCTTTTGTGCTCGGGGCCTTGGCAGCAATGGGCAATTGCATGTCCAATGTATGCCTCAGCACTGCCGTGCAAAATCTGCGCTCACACGACCACCCAGACAGGGAACTTTGAGCCTCCCGGCTCTAAAGCATTGCGAGACTATGTACAAGAATTCGACGATAGGGTAGATCCGAATAAGCGGGAGCTCATGAGGCTGCGACAGCTCGAGAAACAACAACTGAATCTGACGGACACCTTCACTCGTGCGCCGTACTTAGAGTTCCGCCTCTCTCGTACTAACTGGCAGCTGGAACAGCGCCTGCTGCTCCACCACCCAAGCCTAAGGGTCCGAAATGTTCTGTGTGCTTCAAGCATATCCAGGTTTCCGTCAATCCATGGCAACTTGCCAAGACGTGCGTTACAACTCCGGAACTTTGCCGGACACGTCGTAACTCACTGCACAGTGAACGCATGATGGCGGAGCTCTCGGATGACTCTGGCGACGAGGAGGAAGGTGATCGACAACCCCGCGTACCCCGCAAGCCTGTTCTCCATGGAATGCAACTTGCAACTTGCAAGCACTACTTCTGTGGGGTGAGTCTCGTGCGGTCCCTCGAATGTTTACGCGCCGACACCCCACGCCATGTAGGCATGTCTGGCTCAAGCGATATACCATCGCCTCAACATAGCCTTTGATCCTGCGCTCTATGGGACGGCATTGAAAGAGAACAAGCTCGCGGAACCAGGTAGACGCGCAGACTTTCCGATATCATGTCCCGTACGTTGCATCTATCCATCACGCCTGCCCGAATACGTATCATGATTGAGATACGTGGTAGACGTGTCAAGTCAAGCCTGGGGAAGAGGCCGTCGAAATCAGCGACGTAACGGCTCGTCTGGTGTTGGGCCAAGACAATATGGACGAGTGGAATCACGCGCGGTTCTTGTCCTCGCTGAATCTCATTTATTGGTGCGTCATCTCTCTCGTGTTTGGAACTACGAACTTTCATCTCTGCAAGCCCGCATAAAGGATGCGACGAGTGTTTCGATGCGGATGATGTGGCCCCTGCTCCCAGCGGTGTGGAACATGCTGATACGTTGGTCCAAGTTCGTCTTGATCATCTGCGTGCCAGGTCAAAATCTCATCAAATGTGACCTTAGTGCCCACGCTGTCGAGGCTCACTTTGCAAGGCTTGCAAGTCTTTGTGGCACGAGAGTGAGCTCAACTTGCACCATCTCGGTCATGGGTTTTGTACTTACTCGCATCGCAGATTTGACGTGCCAGGCGTATCAAGCATTGCCAATCGCAGAGCGTGCTCCCGAGGACATCGCATTCGCCAATCTGGCCGAGCAGGAAAAGTGGCGACGTTGTCCAAAAGTACGCCGTGTCTTTCCCTCGCTCTCAAGCTGACAGGATGCACAGTGCTCGGCTATGGTCGAGCTCAAGGTGCGGTGCCTTCCACTGATTATAACATTCCTTCTGACTGACGTCTTGCTTAGTTCGGCTGCAAGTATGTTTCCTATCCTTTGCTGATGTATAGCTGTTGAACTGCCTCCCAGTCATATCACTTGCATCTGCAAACACCACGTACGTCTCCCGGCGTCGAATAATGAAGGGCGCTGACTCGTATGAAACAGTTCTGCTACACTTGTGGCGCTGACTTTGAACACGACAAAGGGAAATATCGTTGTAAAGGAGGTAAGGCGACTTTTGTCCTTCTTCTTTGTGCTCCTTCTTGAAGTCTCCAGGTGTGGGATGCAAGGTGTGGGAGGAACAGAATCTTCTCGAAGTCAGAGAACGCCGCTGATTCAATCTTTACATTGATCCATCTCACGCTGACCATCTCGGATCCACTCCTTATCTGTCTGTAACATCTGCCGATATCTTATGCACTGCCTATACTACCATTCGACCTACCTGTACTCATCCAACTGTACAAAACATTTCATGGCGGCTGTGCCGGATGACATATTATGTCATTGTTTCTTCTCTGCCAGTCCCCTATTTGGTCGAAGTCGGGTCTTGGGCCTTGAAACCTCAACAGACACAAAACATACCACCGGGGACATTCGCCGCTCGCCGCGGCCCGTCCATCCCCACGTTCTTGACCCGGTGTCACCGTCAGGTGAAATTACGAGACTAGTGGCTTTATCAGGGCAGTGCACGTTCGTGGGCGGCAGAGATTATCAGCCTCTTCCGCCCCGCCACCTAAGATTTCGATGATCTTAGACCAGCACGGGAGGCGATCACTGTCTCTCCCTCCCCGGAATCTCTAACCTTGTCGCGATGTTGAAGAGGTACAAGGCCTTCATGAAGAATGTGTGTCCGGTGACAATGACGCATGCTGTTGTTACTGAGAGATCAATCCAACAGGAAGGTCACTTTGCTCCCCCAGGCGCGCAAGCCTTGCAAGACTTTGTCAGTGTTTATGATCAACAGCGCCAATGGGTGCGCCAGACGCAGGCGGCCCTCGTCGAGAAGCAACGCGTTTTGACAGAAGAAGAAGAAGCACAACAAGCAGAGGCTCGTGCAGTTTTGGAAGCCTTGGGAAGAGAGAGCGAAGATACACTTCGGGGCACGCAAGATTCGGGGTCGTCTGTTAGCGGTACGTCCCAACCAGCCGTGCAGCGTATCCTGGCCTCATAATCCATCGCTCAGTCGACTGCACGCCCGAGAAGAAATCAAGTTTGCCAAAATGCCGTCTTTGTATGGAACCGTGCACGATCTGCCCCAATCCCTGGCAGCGCACTCGGAGGTCGATTCGAGACAGTCCCAACTTTCGACACATCTCATTCTTGAATAGCCCAAATGTGTCGCCCATCTCCGAGCACAGGCTTTCGGACAGCATTCCGTTCGGAATTGCTCTCGAACCGTGCCGACATGTACATTGTGGGGTCAGTCGAGCGCTGATCCTAATGGGAATCTGCTGATTGGTCCCCAGGCCTGCCTTGCACAGGCAATATATCACGGCCTGAACATGGCATTTGATCCCGCAATGTACGGGACCAACCTCCCGTCGTATGCACCGGAGGTGCCGCGAGTGGGGAATCCTGAGTTTCCCATCCCTTGTCCTGTGAGTGCCTTGCATGTCTCGAATGGATTGGAAGCTGACGAGGCGGCCGAAGACTTGTCAGTCCAAACAAGCGGGACGCCTGAGTCTCATCAACGATGCGGTAGCGCGAGTAGTGCTGGGCGAGTCTAATATGGACGAGTGGAACCACGCCCAGTTCCTTGCTTCTCTCCGTGTCATGCAATGGTCTGTTTTCGTTTCCTGCTTTCACACGGAGCTCGAATACATGGATTACAGTGCATATGATGGCTGCAAAAAGCCATTCGATAGCCAGGAAGCGCCGACTGTGGGCGGCGTTTCCCCGCAGAGGACCTGCATACGATGTCCTCACTGTGATCGATTGCTCTGCAGGTCATGCAAATCTGTTTGGCACCCGGGTAGGCTTTCCTCTGCGATTCCATGTCCGTTATCTGGAACAAATTCCCAGACTTTTCTTGCATCTCTTATCAAGCGTCGCCGGCATCTTCTCCCACGCAGTATTGGAATTTATCTCCTCACTCCTGGTGAGCATTTCCAATATGAGCCCAGTCAAAACAACACGCCAACATTCACCAGCGGAGGAACAGCCAGCCCTCAAGTATCCCCGTGGACATCTGCAACTCAAATCCATTCGCCATAATGCCCTGCGTTCGTCTTGTACTTGTAACTGACTGTATCCATATCTATTCTCTGTTGTATGTCAGAATCCAAATGTACTCGTGATCTAGCTTTCCGCAGGTTGAGCTGGGGAGACCTTTCCGGTTCCCGGCCTACCCACCTACCTACCTACCGACCTGCCATGCAAATTAGTCTCCATGAAGCTCAACTCGCGGGTGTCTCGTGACGTGGTCAAAACTCAGGCTACTGCCGTAATTTAAAAACTGACAATCAAGGATCGTCTGTCACACGAAGAATGATATGTCTAGGATGCTGTCAGGTTTCCCATATTCAGTACACTTTCTTTCTTCCGTTTCAACACATGCGTAGCCCGAATGGCACACCTCTTGTACGCATTCGCTTGATCGTACTTATCGTTCTCGCGAGTTCTATCACATTCTATATCGGCCAATTGTCCTCCACTCCTTTATCCAAACACTCTTTGCCTGAGCCCGAATGCTTCGTTCCTTCAGAGCGAACTGCGCATACACACATGCACGCCATTCAACCCATTCATGTGCCCGTAACCGTTACAAAACTGCAGACCTTGACGACCACCATCCACTCTCCGCAAGTCACTGTAACAGCCGTGCCGGAAACGGTTGCACCTGTAGAAGAGGACTACGTTTTGGTTAATGGGGCTCCCACTGCATCGTTCAAAGGTGATAATTCACTGGATTCCCAAATTCAAAACACCGTGGACTGACGTCTAGACGTACAGATAACTTGCGTGCCGACGTCAAATACATATTGTCGTTCCCTGGAAGTGGATTCAGTTGCGGCGTTTCTTCTGCGGCTCTTTTCAGTATGCTGACCATTTGTAGCTAACGATGTGATGCTATATGTGCGTGTCATAACTCCTTCCATCTCGTTACTCTCCGGTCCTCAATCTCCTGAAGATGAATCTAATCTATCTGTCTATACTAACGGAGCGCGTCCCGGTCATCCCTTACTTCGTCCCGACCCATGTCGGTCAGTCCGAAACGGGTCCTGTTATTGCTTTCGGGGATGTGTTCGATGTGGCGAGATTGGAGAAGGCCATTAGGAAACCGATTCTCGAGTGGGGAGATATCAAAGTGAGCAACGATCCCCTCTCACGTCGTGCTCGTCGTCAAACCCCAAGCACAGGATCTTGGGAGTACAAAGATCGACACCTTGGGCTGCTGGAATGTCTGGGAAGCTGTCTCGCCGGCAAACAAGGGACCACATTGGACCCTAGCCCCGGAAAGAATGAAGCTCGGTATGAACCTGGTTATTGGTCTATGGAAATTCGTTCGAATATTTTTTTAGACATCTCGTATACAACGGCACCCGAATCGATCAAGCTGTACCCTGGCAATCCCCAGAGTACAGATATGCGATTCGCTTCTCTCATGTCGCTCGGGTTTCCCGAACAACGCAATGAACATCTGACCACGCCGGTCAGGTCACCTCTGTTGCATGCCTCACTCCCGCCGGATGAGCAGCTGTTATGTTTTGATAATCTTTATTGGGCAACCAATCTCGAGGTAATGTCCGTCGGTCTTTATTGAAGAATCTTGCTAAGCGATGCCCACAGCCTCACGAAATGGAACACGATTACAGCACTGCTTGGAGATTCGTCGGGCGGCATCTTCACTGGAACCCTCGCATTGAAGCCCTCGCAGCCCGATATGTCAGGCGGACATTAGGTCTTGCGCGTGCAAGGCCGATTCCTCCGTACATCTCGGTTCATGCGAGACGGGGGGACTTTGTCAATTGGTGCGAGGTGCCCGATCGGGAGGACTGCTTCGCGCCGGTCTCTGTAATTGCCCGTCGCGTTGCCGAGATTCGGCAACGGCTTTGGCGGACGAAGGGGATCGAGGTACAACACGTGATCATGACCAGCGACGAGACCGACGAATCCTGGTGGCGCCAGGTACAGGCTCAAGGCTGGGACCGTGTCGATCACTCGTGGACCAGTGAAATACATGGAGCTTGGTTCCCCGTATTCATTGATGCAGCTATCCAGTCTGCGAGCACAGGTTTTGTTGGCACAGATCGTTCGACCGTCTCTTTGCTTTCTGCTCATCGGGTTAGAGAGTGGCAAGGCGGCCCCACTCAAATGTTTCGCTGGGGAAAGCCCGGGGCGGACGACCACGAAGATATCTGATTATGTATGCTTTGTTATCTTGTAACTCCTTACTTGACCATCTGATCTCAATCAATCAATCCTGGCTTCCGCTCTCCAAGCATCTTCGAATCAAGGAAAAGGAGCGCTCTCTGGCGGCGACTGCAATTACGTGGCGAATAAAATCCCAATTCCACCGGATATCAGTGCTCAAGATCACCTGGACACTGTCGACATTCAAATACTCACTGCCCGCCGATCCCTCTGATCCGGGTCCGACTCTTCATTGGGCACCGCGCGCGCGGCCCGGGACTCGGTCATTCCTGTCTTCAACATGTCCCCAACTGCCTTCCGCCTCGTCGTTACCGCACTCGTTGCCAACCCGAGCGGCGGAAGTAAACCTGACGTCCTAAATTACGTTTAGAGTAACAACCAAGAATTCGATCTGGAATCGAGGGTAGTTGCTTAAAATCAAACCCAATCGCAGCCAGTGCCGGATATGACCACAGTTTCTCGCCGTTGACAATAGCGTGAACCTATTTCTCCCTCCCATTTCCTCCTCATTTCCTCCTCTGTCTCCTCCCCCCCCACATTCTTTTGAAATCTTCGGCGATGACGACTCTCAACATGGTGCAGGACAGGATGTTGGGGTGCGCGCTCTGCCAACCGAGCTCTTGGGAAGCGCGCTGATCGCCCATCTTACAGAGCTTTGCTCATCGGCACCTATGTCAATTCAGTATGTGACTTCGATTGATGGATCCCCAGTCTCTTCTGACCGCCATGGCAGTTCCTCTATATTCTCGCGTTCGTTGAGGTGAGTTCGCTTGTTTCCGTATATCTCAGAGGGCGGGGAGCCGATTGGAACGACACAGACGGTCAAGTATTTCCGATATTTCAAGCAAGACGGATTGTTTGTCAGAGTGTGTGTTCTGCTGGCTCTAGCGGCCGACACGCTAGCAACTGCTGCGACCGATGGGATGGTATACCTTGTGAGCTACCCAACTCTGCGACGGAGAATGATCTCATCTCATTCGATGATCGAGAACTTGGTAACGCATTGGGGCGACGAGACTTTCCTATCCAACCGCCTGTTGGTATGTAGCGCCTCCATTGACCATGTACAGCGGCCACTAAGCTAGCCTTCAGATTGTTCCGGTGTTCGTGATTCTTACCACTGTCTCGGGCACGGTCTCGCGAGCTCACCTCGGTGTCCGCTACTTGCGACTGTACGTGCCAAATTCTTTTCATAATCGTTCCCTGCAGCTAAGTGTATAATTCCAGCACTAAGAATCGCTTTCCATTCCTTTTGATTGTACTTTCGACTATTGCCTCGGTAAGCCAGGCCAACGAGGATCTCTTGCCACTCAACGCTTTATCAGATCGTCGGAACAGTGCTTCTTGCACACGCTCTCATAGCACAACGTATCACTGAATCTTTATTCGTGTTCAGCGACCATCATTTCCAAACTCTGTACGTTCATTTTAGCGGCTCGAGAGATCCCATCTCTGAGATCGTGTGTTGCAGTTTTTGGTTGGCCGTTTCCCTTGCCGCGGATGTCTTGGTCGCTCTCGCATCTCTCGTCTCTCGCCATTTTTCGCGAAACATGGGGTGATTGAATTCCTTCGTTGCAATTCGTTGTGCTCATATCCCAGATTCCCACGTTTTTGTTCCCTGTTGCTCCGATCTGGCGTCGCTGGCGTAGCATTTTCACTTGCCGCGTTAATTCTGTGGGTAATTTGCAGGTGGATTCCACACCCTATTGCTCATGCTCCTCTCTAGATTCGTGGTTGACAAAGACCATAGAAATTGTCAGTTTGCTCGCATTCTGCGCTGTTGCGACCGTCCAGGCTGACTGACGTCTGTAGTATCGTTTGCCGTCACAATCTCGCTTGGACGAGTGTACTCTCATGCCATGGTGAACCGGTAATCGACACTCCCGTTTGGGATGCTGATACAACTCTCTTCAGCTTCGAAACTTGAATGCGCGAGATCCCAATGTCGAGAATCGACCCAAGAGTCTTCCTCACGTCATCGAAATCGCCAGTTATCCATTCATGCCTAGTTCGCCTGCTACTTTAGGTGAGTGGCTCGATCACGGGGTTCCTGCGTTAGAATCATCTTCTTCAGAGGCCGCATTGACCACCCCGTTGTCGTCGCGTCCGAAGATCCACATCAAGGCAAGCGATCTGAAAAACATCAAAACTGAGGACCTGAAAACGATGATTTCGACGGTGGGTCTCTGCTTTGACTTCTTCTCGTTTTGTGTTATAATTTCACATTGCTAGCCTGTGTACATGGAGGATCCCAGCCCGAAAAACCTCATCGCCGAGGCCAAGCGACTGAAACAGGAACGGGTAAACCAGTTGGGAAGGTCTCCTACGATAAAAACAGGAATCACTGCCAAGAGTTCCTTTTTGGACAGTCTGTAGTCACCAATATCCATTTGTTGTAACATCATCCATGAGGAATTCACAGCGTCACCAAACGCGGCCCAGCTGATTTCACGTGACCGCGTTTCTCCATTGACTGTCAACCTTCAACATTTTATTCGGTCATTGCCAGTCGATGGTATCATCCGGATACCCGCCTTCTCGCCTTGCGTGAATCTTCAAAGGAAACTACAATAGAGTCGACCTGCCATCTACTCTCAAGCATATCGCGTCATATGACGCGATAGGGTGTTCTCACCGTCTTCTCTTCGCCAACTGCCATGTCCAACTTCACTACTGTACCTATTCTCGACTACTCTCAAACTCTATCGCCAGAACTTAAACCTAAGTTTCTGCTGGAACTACAGCATGCCCTGATCAATGTCGGCTTCCTCTACCTTTCTAATTCTCTCGTCGATACCGAAGCCATCCTGCCCTTCGTCCCCAAGCTGTTCTCCCTGCCGCAGGAAGAAAAGGACCGGATCGCGATGGTGAACAGCAAGCACTTCCTTGGCTACAACAAGCTCGGATCGGAGTTCACGAAGGGACGGACTGACTGGAGGGAGCAGTTTGATATTGCGACGCCGCATGAGTGTCGAGCGGTCGAGGGGAGAGGTGACCCCGATTATTGGAGTCTATGGGGTCCTTCTCAGGTGTGTGTGTGTCGATAAATCCTCGGAACGTTGCTCAGACGCCGCAGTGGCCAGATGAGACACTCATTCCAGGATTTAAAGATGCGATGGAACGCTATCTGCTCCAGGTGCAAGATCTCAGTTATGCGTTCAGCCGGCTTCTATCAGAAGCGCTGGGACTCCCAGCAGACGCGCTCGATCAGTTCTACGACGTGCCCAAGCTGATGCAGCACCGAGGCAAGATCGTAGCCTATCCACAAACTGAGCACGAATCACAGGGTGTCGGGCCACATTACGATGCTGGATTCCTTACTTTCGTGCGCCGTCCTCATTTCTGTCTACAACTTTCGGAGGCCGATCTCGAGCGTAGCTTCTCCAAGTCTCTGACCATCGAGGCCTGCAGGTGCAGAATCTCGCAGGAGAGTGGATTGATGTGCCGCCTATTCCAGGCACCTTTGTTGTCAACATCGGTCGCGGTGAGCATGCACGGCTACTAATGGCTCGAGCTGACGCAAGGATGCCCCTTGCCAAGCACTCGAATTTGCGACCCAGGGACTCGCTCGAGCTACCTCCCACCGCGTGATCTCACCCGTCGGCGGAACGGTCCTCGGTACTCCGTGCCGTTCTTCCAGAACATAGGTCTCGACACACGTATCACAGAACACGTGCTCACATGTGAGACTTTTGTGCGGCCAAGACAACTGGTTCACTCATCGGTTGGCAGTTCCGCCTGAAGTTCTGGCTTTGCGAGACTCCCGTGGGACGCTCCTGGCTACTGATTGTACGCAGATTTGTCGTTCTCGGGCTGATCTTGATTCTGAATCGGTAACACAGCGGTCAACTTCACTGAGTTTGACCGGGAACCATCGGGACGAGTCAATCTTATTGGGCGGGTCAAGTGCGTGTTGATACTCGTTCTGGTGTGTAACATACATGTCTCAAAACGCTCCAGAAGCCATCCTGATGTGGCGGAACGGCATTACCCGGCCCTTTTCAAGGAGGTATTCCCTTATGGGGTGCCGCCTCTGCAGCAAGTCAGCGCATATTGACCAAGGTGTCCGGATTACTGCATGGCATTCGAAATCTAGGTAATAGCTAGGTAGATGATAGGTAGGATATGCAGAGGGATTGCATATACAGCGTTAACAGCAAAGATGCAGAACGAAATACGGCGTGAAAATATATACCGTGGTTGGACATTGACTGTCCGCAAAGTGCCAGCTTCATTCAGGTGATGGGGAATTCGACACCGACGTCTCGTACCCAGGAGGACAGAAGCGGATGGATGGATGGTACTACACGGGTTGTTTGCTGCTGTTGCTGAGGAGAATACAGGGTCAGCATGGGGCTTCGGCGTTGGAGTGTGGTCACGAGTGACGACGAGCGAGAATGCTGCGAGACGACTCGTGTCCAAGTCGGCGACGGAGGCTTCGGCACGGACGGAAACGCTGCAGGCACAGGGGTATGTTCTCGACTGGATATTGGTGGGTGGTTTTTGTGGGGAATACATCTGGAGGACCTCCATTCCTATGATGTTGCTGTTCATCAGAAATGTAGGGAAATGGGCATGGGGCGAAGGGTATATATTCGGTTGTG